TTCCGGGAGCGCCTAATAAACACGATTAAAATCAGTTGAGTTTAACAGCCAATCCAGACTCAACTTCATCTACCAGAAAATTTCCAACAATGGCAATCACAACACCAATTGCTTCCACCATGAATGAGAAAGGCGATATAATAGCCACACATCCACAAGCTACAATCATGATTATCAATGGCAGGACCCAGTCCTGTAACACAAAATGCTGGGTTTTAATTACCGTAGTTTTGAAATTGAGAATGAAAGAGTACTTTTACTTGTCGACTTATGATAAGAATTCAACCGAACCTTGAAATAGATGAGCTGACGGTACTCCCGAAGTATGTGAACCAAGATGGCGGACACCGGAATGTAGTATGTGCACCAGGTTAGGGTCAGGCCATAATTTCAGGTACAAATGCAACGGGAGTAACTTGGCCTGTGCCCGAACTTGTAATAAGGAAAATTGGAATAGAATTGTGGCCTACGTTCCGGTGTCCGCCATCTTGATTCACATACTTCAAGAGTACCGAACTGACATCACCAAACTATTACATCCAATTATTTAATTAAAATGTCAATTGGGTCTTCTGTCAAGGTAAAACAAGCAAATATCGACAAAGATGGATATGTACGACAAGAAAAGATGAAATACTTGAAACTCAACTCACGAGATCTGAACTTTCGATTCCCCACAATTCCGCTGCTGCTTTAGTCACATCTTCCATTTCCACTCCAGCCTTTACTAACATAGTTTCCAGTTTATTACAAAAATCTGTATTTTTCTGTAGGAAGTGAGAAAAGAGTATGAAAATTATTTGACAATGAGAAAAATGAAGCTAAAAACGGGTCCCGAACCACTAGAGTGGATACAGGGCGCTCAGGTGGATGTGCACCAAGATGGCACACAACCTGATAACCCTGGGCTGGTACACATACTATGTTCAGGTTGTGCACCATCTTGGTACACATACTACGAGAAATCGGGTACAGGAATAATGGTTCGCCCAGATATTAAATAATAATTTTGGTACTCCGGTAGTATATGAACCAATATGGCGGACACAGCAACGTAGCATCTGTACCAGGTTAGAGTTAAGCCATCATTTCACGACAAATACTACGCGAGTCACTTGGCTAGTCCTCGAACTCGTAATAGAACCAAAATTCTAAATGAAAAAGATCCAAATTTTGAAATTGATGCAAGGCAGAATTATGAAGATGAAAAGGTGTTTGCTTCTAAAGCTGAAAGAGACTGGTGATTCGAACCTGCGAACCCACGCAGAGTAATAGAGATGAAGTGGCGAGCATATTCCTAACACTTAGCACGATGAGCCACACCTCCGCACCTTCAGGTACTTTAATAACATCATAATAGAAGTATTTGACTTTGAAAATATCTATACTTCTGAAAACGCTTAATTTTATACGTTTATAACGACATCGCAAGGTAGAGACAGCCATGACCAAGTCCAATTTTAAGTATTTTGTGGCGTCTGAAGCTGTCGCAAAACCATGGCGGGATTTACAAACCATGGCCGCCATGGCCAAACCACGGCGACTGACTTTTAAGCTGTCACAAACCAATGACAAGATGCTGTAACCAAGGCATGTCGGCTGTAATGGCAGGGCAGCCCCTGATGACAAATATTGGTTAAGTTGGAACGCCGCGGTTCGTTCGTGGCAGGAGCTGCCATGAGGTGGTAAGAATTGCGACTCGCCATGAAGGCATTCTCATCTAATTATTACACCGTCAACTTAGAGACAGAATGTAATTATTTCTAGAAAATAATTGAAAATACATCACGACCTCGCCGCATTTCTCTTGTATTTCTCTCACTTTGTCTTGATGCTTTTCTATGAGATGTTTTATTCCGGCCTTGAAAATAGAACACCTCTGTTATATTAGAATTTCACAACCCATGGCTTGAACTGCATAAGATAGATTTTAGCGTAGGAGCGTAGCCAGGGGGTTGTTTTGGGGGTCGGAAAAAAATTGAAATCATCTCTCTGTATCACAAATAGTAAATTTTCGTAGCTTGCTGTTTCGATCTAACTTGGCAAATAAAAATGTCAACCTGGTACACATACTACGTCCCTGTGTCCGCCATCTTGGTTCACATACTACGCAATTAACCAAGCAAGGCCGGGTAAACAGTAATTTCTGTGAAACGAGGTAGACCCAATTTATGGTCGAGAAAGAAATATAATTTAGAAACTTACACAAGGTTCTGTTCCATCGGAAGCTTGGGCGCCGCTTGGTACTTCAGACATAATATATTTTAACTGAGACTTATATTTAATTCCCAATTATTTATTCAAGATGTTCAACTTTTATAAACAAGGGATAGTCAATCAATATTTTTGATATATATACTTAGTTTAGAATCATATGATCCAGATGTCATTATTTATTTAAGAACTAACTTTAAATTTTTAAATATTTTGAATACAAACGTAAAGCAGACTTGTCGTTGCAGTTTTCAAAATGGCACTCAAGACGTTTGCCAATATGGAGGTAACTAGTTTTGTCCACCTACTTTACATCAAGTTGTATAAAAAGACGGAAGCCCATGAGCAGGGGGTGTATTCACTTGGCAAACACAGACCGTCTCATAATGCAACTAAAATAAGGTCAATCGGGATAAAATTATGGCCAAACCCTGACCTGGTACAACGGGATCCAATGTATACCGTAAGTTGGATATTCAGGCGGCAAACTTTTAAAATATATTTGAGTCCCATGCCATCGACTTGCCCACGTTGTGAGCCGAAAGAAGTTAAAAAATAATAGCACCTCACGTGATCGTGGCTGCTTTCGTAAAGCTTTGTTTGAAATGTGAAGCCGCTTTATAAATTATGCTAATAATTCCCACCAATAAAATCTGATTTTTTACAAAATATTCGTCAAAAAAGGGAAGCGTTGGAGCCGTGTAGAAACAGGGATCAATTAGCCCGTAATTTTACCAACTTTTATCATGTGTGACAAAACATAGATCGATAAAAAAGTTTTTATTTATTCAAAATTTTGAGCACAATAAAACTTCGCATTCCGCCACGTTATTAAATATATATGTTTCTCAGTAATCTAAACTTCCTAAATCTAAAAATACCGCAATGCTCTCATCTAAATTTACTGCGAAATAAAGGCGATATTTAAATGTCTGCCTCACAACCTGTAAGGTATCCTGGTGGAACTAAATGCTCTAAGTAGAGCAGCATAATATAATAGGTTTCATTTCTCGAATTTTGAATCGCAACCTGATTACAAACGTTACAAAGAAAAGGCGCATAACACTCCATCGCATAAATTGTAACCAATACCCTGTCGTGCCGAAGAATTCTAGTGGCAACAAAAACAGCGTATGGGTGATTTGTGAACACGATCCGATAATATGCGTAGCTTGGTGATAATAAATGTCTTCCCAAAGGTGCCCTTTTCGTAACTTTACTATTCATACTCGACCCATGATCAAATCGATTGAGGTAACGAGACTCATATCACGAAGACGGTATTCACAAATAGCGATTGGTTATTAATATAAAAGTACAATTGTATTGATAATGATAATCGATATGAAAATATATTTTAAAGGGACCTCTCCCATTTTGTAAAAGTCAAAATTTAAGCTATACAGTATATACTTATAACAACATAACCTGGAACACACACTACGTTCCGGTGTCCGCCATCTTGGTTCACATACTAAATGAGTACCCATTCGTGTGTTAAATACTAATAGGCTCATTTTCAATTTCCAAGATTCGGGGTTCTCTAGTCGGTACAATATACTCTCCTCTATTTTGAGTTATGACCTACTCAGCCAAACTTCTGATGACGTCGATCTGGTTGCTGATAAAACGGCTCTGCTATACCGGAAATGATTTTCGTTTTTTTTCGTGGAAAAGACTCTCCAAGCAAAGTTACGGGCTCTTATATATAATAATAATAATTATATACGAGTATATATTTATACAACATAGATGGATCAGTAGCTCGTAAATTTAGTTTTTACCAATCCTATCGGTAGCTACGCGACTGATGCATAAATATTCAAAGCTGCAGGTTCACAAAAGAGGAGAAGGGAGAACAAATAACCGCGAACGCAATATGGTAACCCATTGATGTCAGGGTACTCCCGAGGTATGGGAATCAAGATGGCGGACACCGGAACGTAGTATGCGTACCAGGTTAGAGTTAGGCCATAATTTTATTCCAATTTCACTTATTTTAGTTCTGTTACGAGTTCGGCGACTACCAAGTGGCTCCAGTGATATTTATACATGAAATTAAGGCCTATCCCTAATCGAGTACACATACTACGTTCCGGTGTCCGACATCTTGGTTCACATAGTTCGGAAGTATCCATATTTTAACGCAAGGCAACACCCTGCCACTTTCTATATCGTTTAGTTAGGATACGGCATCTCCAATAGTCGGCTCTAATAATGACGCTTATCTTCTGAGTAATATATTCGCAACGCATCGCGAGTCTTCGAAACAATCGATTGAATTCCGGGAAATTCGCGTATACCCACAAACGGTAAATGTGAATTTTTTTCTATAGTATTTTTTTATCCGTCTTATGAATTTATAATTTTGCGTAGACCGAGTATAACAACCTCAAGTGGGTTGATACGTAACTCATGCATAAACACAAAACAATGTCCAGAGCTGCTGGTTTTAAAGTGAAAAAATGCGAACAAATACCGCATACCGAGGGCATTCTAGCGAATCCATTGACGTCAGAGCGATTAGAAGATCGTCTTGTGCGACATTGCTATCATACGAGCTAAATTAAAAAATCATATTATCAAAATTTTTAAACAACTCCAAAGGCGACTGAAGATCGCTCTGTACTCTTTTTTTAATTTTTGCACTTACATGGCCGCCATTCTAAAATCAGAATTTTTTTAGCCCATTATCAAAAATCCCCTACCTGGGTTCGAAAAGGGCACGCTGACAATAAACTGATAAAGAAACAGAGTTTGTAAATTGTACACAATTTTTTATTGCAATACTAAATTAGGTTGCTAAATCAATTTTTTTTAATATTATATTCATTATAAATATATACAGCCAAGTTACCTGTATAGTAGCCAAATTTGGGTTTTACTTAGTGATATGTACACTGATGTTGAAAAATGAATTGGAAATTGAAATAAAACATGAATTAATAATCGATATTACATTATGATAGGTTTTGCTTTTCAATATGTAGCACAATGAAGAATTCGTTACCAAATGACAACATTATTTGGATTTTTTCTCATTGCCAAGGCTCTGTTCCTCAAGTATGTAACCACCACCTCCTCCGATAACAGCTCCCACGGTGCCACCTATTGCAGCACCAACCGCGACTTTCCCAAGCATGACAGCAGATCCTGCAATCAACACTGGAATGCCACCGCCTACCACCACTCCAATAAGTCCCAAAGCTAAGCCGAGAGCTACAACTTTCCACCAGTTCTGTTAAAATGAAATGTTCAATATTTACAACTTATATAAAATCAATAACAAGATGGTCGATAACCGTAAATTTGATTCTATAGTCAAATTGCGAAAACTAAATTTAACTGAGAGCCACCGTTTTTTCTAGTTGAGAAGCTCACACTTCATTATTATTTCAAGATGGTGGAAATGCATCATTTAAAAAATGAAATACTGTCATAAGTTGCAAAAAATCATTGTCGATATATTAGGTTTTAAAAGTGAGTTTAAGTACTCACTGTCTCTTCGACATCAGACTGCAAAAGTTGCTCCTCAAGATCGTCATCTACTACGAATTTTTCAATGTCTTTTTTGTATTTTAAGAGTCCAGGCTGAAAATGTATTTTTCGCTTGTTATAAAGGCAGAGAAAAACAAATAGCAATGCACTGTATAGCTTGAAGGTGGGTGGGAGAGGTATGGGTATTTTGTGTAATTATTCAACGCCATATAGGCATATCGTCCACTTATTTCAATGTACCAGCCATAATATTAATGAACATCAATGTACTGTTGGATGGTATGATTAAGTGTCTGATGCGTTAATTCATGGAAGACTGTGCCACGGAGGACTGTGATGGATTGCGGGTCAAAAACCTCGAGTTCAAATCTCATGTTCAATGCCAACTAGGGACAGACTGAGTAGTTTATAGTGTGTATTAAAGTAAATAAGTAATATCACAACAAAGCAAATTCGCCTACAAGAATGTCTAACTTCTCTCCTAGGGCGAAATGTTTGCCTGATTGGGAAACACACTCTTACTGTATCAGTGGCTGCTTCTATCGAAGTTTGTTCGAGATGAAATTGTGTTAAAACACTGTAGAACAAGATTACTGGGCGCTACAATAATAGCAAATTCTGGTTTCAAACCTCATTTTCAGCCTCTTTGTTCAGCATCCGAAAAATTGTTCCATGGGTCTATTCTGCACCAATGTCTTTTTCAGTTTCCGATTCAATTGCTTATTCCTATTTACAATCTTTGTTTATTCCTTCTGTAAATGCTGTATTTTTCTCTAAAAATAACAATGCAGAGTATGAAATGGATATTATGCAATATTAGCATTCGGACTGTTCGTTTTCCATCCTCACGGTTGTTTCCCTGACAGTTTGACTTGACTCTCGTGTTAACCGCTTCCTACTAAGCCTCACTCACAAGATCAAAAAATGTTTGGGTTCCAAGTGAAATATATTCCTTGAAAACGTCAAAACGTACGCAATGTGCATCGTACACATGATAGTATAGTTGCTTTTATATAAATATTGATCGTAATTTTAAACAACCCAAATCATGTTTGCACTCAAATAGATTTTCAAAATTTTAGAAACAGTACGAAATGGTTTGTAATTTAATGAACCATGTTTTTGTTTAAAGCTGTGGAGACATTCATAAATTTTCAGTCTATGGTATTAGTCATAAACTGCAACCTTCTGTTCCAGATTTGCATTTTCAAGAGCAGTTATTCTTTCTTTATTCTGCTGATCTGACTTTATCAGCTCAGCAACAGCTCCCATGCATCCTTGAAGTTCCCCTCTTGACACGTAATCACCATCAGGATGAAAACTTGTTCCCGCCTAGATAAAAAAAAAACTGGTTTTGTTTCCATGGAAATAGCGAAAAACGTGCGGATCGCTATGGAATTTTTACAAATTATCGCAGTTTTCTCGTTAAACATGTTCAAAATTAATATTTCAAGAACGCTACCTTCCGCATAGCAAAATACTCTTTTCAATAAGTCATCTTTGGTCTCGATACTCAATAAACTGGAGAAGCCTTAAGGATTTTTGTGAACATTATTTCTTTAATTTTTAGCTTTTTACACAATTCCAAATACGCTAGATGTCGCTGGAAAACCATAAACTCAAACGCGCTTCTGCCACTAGGTGGCGTTGTGTGTCCATATATATATATATATATATATATATTTGAACGTAATGGCGAAGATCCAACTGGGCGCCTACCGGCTTGTTTGAATAATAGTAATAGGATTTGCATTTAAGCACCGACTTTAAATAAATAATATTGACAGGGCGTTAAAAAAGTAACGCAGTATTTACAGAAGTTGTAATGAAATGCTTGCTACTTGTTAAAACATTTATCGACTAACACTTTTTAAAAATATTGAATTATAGGTAAATGTCATTTATACTTTTCCCGACTGATGCTTTTTAACAATAACTTTTTCAACGTTGCTACGACGAAAAATTTTACCTTAATCTTGCCTAACTTTTTTAACACCCTGTATATATTTTTTTTTCAATTTCAATAAGAAATAACAACTATTCAGGGATTGCATGGCTATTATACTAGAACCAGTTTCCAATATAAATTCTAGAAATTCAAGACAGATAAACAACGTTCCAAATGGTAATATCGAAAAAGTGGAGTTGAAGTCAAATGAAATTTCGCAATCTTGACAACTTACTGAAGTGTTATCATCATCATCATCATCATCACCATTATTACCGACGGCAACAAATGCGGCGTTGGAAAAACCAGCCATAGTAAACGTTAAGTTTAAACTAATGCTCAAACTACCAATGCTTGAACAAATAATTTAAAATGATTGACATTAATACGATTGCTATTTCTTGCAAATAAACAAAGGGAGAAATCTGATTTGAGTTGAAAATTTATGACTTGAATTTATGAACATAGGCCTTTGTTACAATATTTCATAAAAAATGTTCCCATGAATAAGAAAAATCAGCCAAATATTTGGCAAAAAATTTCGGCCAAAAATACCAACAATTCAGAAAAAAAGTAAAAATAAAACTGAACTTTCTCCTTGACTGGTAAATTAGTCGTGGGAATAATATATCCAAACTAGTGTACAATTGCTTTCTAGTTACTTATCGATCTTAAGATCGGTAAGTATGTTGATAGGTATTTGTCTGTTTGTTTGTTCGTCTGTATGTCTGTCTGTCTGTTAGACTAACGCAATATGTCACGAAAGCGAGGTTCAATCGACTCCAAATTTTACATGTGCATTCATCATAGCCTATCATAGTCCGGATCAGAAGCCTATTGATTTTGGATGGATTATGTCGTATAATTAGCGAGTTATTAGTGATGGGACACATGGTGTCTCTGTGGAGTAAGACCACAGTTTTGGGAGATCCCCTAACCTTCGATCGATAAGTCTTCGGTTTCCAACTAACCTTCGATCGATAAGTCTTCGGTTTCCAACCGAATTCTAGTTAAGTCACCCTGACCTCCAGAAGTATGTGCACCAAGATGGCGCACAACCTGAACATAGTATATGTACCAGGTTAGGGTCCAGGTTGTGCAGCATCTTGGTTCACATACTTCGGGGGCGCCAATTACCCTACTATAATCTCGAGAGTTCAACACTATTCACCAGTAGCAGCATGAAGATGTAATATTTTTTATGAAGAAAATGAATACTTCTGCTTAAATTCCTTTTTCTCTTACTTAAAAATAGGTAATGTATGCGGGACTGTCCCTGGTAAGGCTTGTGGGGCACAGTTTGCACAACCTTTTTCAATGAATATAAAAACTCAAAATTGATACGCTTTTCTCTGACTATAAAAGCGGGCAGACAAAGACCTGGTAAAATGGTTCAGCAGTGCGTAAATTGAACAAATGTCACAGATGTAATAAAAATTCAATTACGTTTTAATATGCTGGTATTTTCAACAGAATCTGATGCCAATACAAAATTTAAAACAAAATTCGGCTCAAAATATTTGTTATTCAAAAAGGTACACGATTGCACCATTCGTGGGCAATTTCAGATAGGATCAGTACAACACGCCCATGCCCTTCCCAACCAACTACGATATAACAGTTGCAAGTTGGGTTCAAATATGATGTAACAGGAGCAGGCCTGGGCTTGATATGCGAGACGCTGTCACGTACGCAAGTCATTCCACAAACACAAAATCAAACATAGGATCGAAAGAAGTTGCCATGATTCATTATAGGCAAGCAATTTTAACTTTAAGTAACTCACAATAAACAATACACAGCTAAGCCGATTAGCCCTATCTAAAGCTAACTGCAAATACTAATAAATGGAGAGAATGTAGAGCAGTGGTTCTCAAACTTTTTTTGCTTGCGGCACACTACGCAAATAAGAAAACTCTCGCGGCACACAAAATTTTAGTTAGACTTGGGCAAATTATTCTACAAATGTTATTGCGATGTGTGTGCCTGTTTTGAGAAACGTAGGTCCGTCACTCCCTTTTTTGCTTTTGTTCACAGCCAAGGCGGAAAATACGGTTTAATAGAGCCATGTAGATGCAAATGGATACAGTGGCGTAGCATCCACCCCCGCAACCCCTGCGGTCGCGGGAGGGCCCACAGTGCAAAGGGGCCCAAGCGGTTAGAATTTAGAAATTTAAGCCGCAAAACCAAAAGCTGCATTGCAAAACCAGTAATGCACATCTTATAACGTTGATGTTAGCTCTGCTCAAATCGTTTTGTTACGTAACAATGTCAGGGAGTCGTCGATTTTCGGCGCCTTGTGGTTTGATCGCACCGGCAAAATTACGAAGGCTGTCAGAATGATGTCGAAATCAAAACCTCTCAGTGGCGCACAGAAACGCAGAAATAGGGCAGAAGAGGAAGCACGTATGAAAAAAATAAAGTAACCAAGATAAACGGCAAATTTTAGGTTATCATTGCCTTTTAATATGTTACATGTTATGCTTTTTGACGAAATAAAAAAAAAGTTGTTTTAGCTTATGTCGGAGAGTTTTTAGGGTCATTTCCACGAAATATTTTTTGCATGGGGGGGGGGGGGGGGGGGGGGGGGCACGAGAGTCTTGTTACGCCACTGTATGGATAGATTTGATGGCTTTTGCACCGATGATTGAATAGAATTTGTAAGCAGATAGCCAGTATCAGTATCAGTAATTTATTTTTTCCACCATTTGAAAATACGCAAGCTACATACACAGAATAAAATAAAAGAAGAATAGCATTTCAGGGTGGAGGGAAACGCTGAAAAACCAGTACTGGTTATCGAGCGGCGACACCCTAGATGGGGTCTAACACAGCATGACGAAATAACATGAAATAGAAAGCTTAAAATGAATATGAATGAAAAAGCAAAATAATCACACGAAATAAAATTGTATATTGGAAACGTTCAAGTATCCAGCGGATTTTCAGGAAATCCAGAGTCCCTCGTTAATATAAAAATAGACTCCAAGCACCATCAAGGTAACCACGCAAATGCTCAGCTGAAGCACTGGCTGCGGGCGAGTGTACAGTTAACGTCAAACCTGATAGCCGGAAGGATGTCGGTATTGCAGTAGGAAATTAAAGATTCTATTCAATGGATTGGACAATAAATAACAGGTAACAATAAATACTACAGTATTTTTTATATCTAATTCATGTAGGACATGAAACTGTAGCAAATAACATGTCCACAATGAGCAGAAGATTGAAATGTGTAACAACAATTGGTAAGTAGACTACTAGTGTAGAGGTGATACAATTCATAATGACAATAGTTGCAAAAAAATATAAGAAAAATTTAACATTTATTATCATATAGCATGTAATGGACTAAAATGGTAGAGACTGAAGTCTGAGTTATTGACCCAGCTCCATGTAGAACTCAGGTGCTTTTAAGACCGGGAATTGATTGATTGCGTGGCATAAATGAGCTTACTGCACACAGTTAGATTATATTCGACCAAACTTGCTTTCCTGTTAGCCTAACTCAGGGGTCGGCAAACTTCGTACTCGCTTGACAGATCGTCATTTAAACGACGTACTACGGGCAACCAAGTTGTCATAACCACATCATCTTTCCTATTGAGAATAAGTAAATAAAAACAATATATTGTTGGATAATATATTAATTGTGGCGATTGTTTGTAAGCGGGAGAAATGTGTATATTCGTCCCGCAGGTACACAAATCTTGCCGACCACTGGCCTAACTCAACGCGCAAGTGAACATAGTGGAAGGTGGATCTCATCTTACAAAACATTATGACATCACAATGCAAGTATACTAGAACAATACTCCTTACTACAAAGACAAGACAGATACTACTGTACAGTGGCGGCGCGTCAATAGGGCCAACCGGGGCAATGCCCCGGTTGTTTTTTCGGTATAATAAAAAATATTCGAAAAATACCTCAATATCGGTTGCACAGAATGTCTACACTAACCATATTCTCCCGACATGGTTCATTTTTCTCTCGCAAAGCCGTCCCCGAACGTCGACGGGGCGACGCCGATTTTGCCCCGGTTGCTCATTGTATATCGTACTCTCTCTTTTATCTTCCACTCGCCGCGTTTGTCTCGTTTGTTTTCTGTTTCTTTTACTAAATCATCGGGGCTAGCCCCGAAATTATGACGACACAATGCCGACGTTTCTTACAACAACGTGTTGACATATTCACGCATTCCTTCTCGTTCGTTGGTTGCTTGAAGAGTTGATAGTTTCCTCGCCTTCGTTTTTGTCGCTTGTTTCGCTATTTGAATCAGTTAGAGACCTTTAGTCCATTTGCTTTCCATTTTCCACATTCCTTTTGAGCTCCTCACTTCTTTCCGGCTTCGCATTTTTTAGCCTTAGACCTCATAATGAATAAGGTTGATGCACTACTTCGCACTCCGTTTTCGCAGCTGCCGCTGGAACAAAAATTAGAGGTACCTCGTCTTGGGCCTTATTAACCAAAAAATTGTTCACTGGAACAATCCCATGACGGAGGAAAGCGTCGGCGTACATTCTGCGCAGAAACTTGGTATAAAAAACGCGAATGGCTGTGTTACAGCGAGTACAAAAATGCTCTTTTTTGTTTTTATTGCCTACTTTTTGCTACCGCCCGTGACTCACGTTGGTGTAAATTTGGTTTTAGAGATCTTAAACATCTTTCCGAGCGTGCCAGGGATCATCAATCTTCTATGGAGCATCTGGACAATGCAGTAAAATACCGAACATTCGGAAATGTTAATATTGCAGCACAGTTGGATGAAGGACGCTCGGTTTCTATTCGTCGGCACAACCAAAACGTCGAGAAAAAACGCCATGTTCTCGGTCGATTGATAGATGTTTTGAAGTTTATTGGTTGTCACGAGCTGTCCCTCCGTGGGCACGATGAACGGGCTGGCTCTTCTAATAGAGGGGTATTTTTGGATATGGTGGAATACACCGCATCCCTAGATACAGTATTGAGAGATCATCTTGATGCCGCAACTGTTTCGAAAGGGACATCTAAGGATATCCAAAATGATTTGCTCGACTCAATGTATAAAATTTATTTACAACATTTGGCTCTGGAAATTGAGAATTGCCAGTTCCTTTCGATTCAGTCTGACGAGACAACAGACATCACGTGCGTTTCCCAACTGGCTGTGATTTTTCGGTTTGTGAAAGATGGTAAACCTACCGAGAGATTTCACAGCTTTGTACCAATCGTTGATCGCACGGCTTGCGGGATATCGGCTGTACTGAAGGAAGTGTTACAGCCTTACAACGCGATGTCGAAATTGATAGCTCAAACTTATGACGGCGCGG